TGATAACACTCTAACCTTACTCTGTAATGTCAACACTGATATTTTCAAATTTTTTTACTGATTAGGCTCATATTGTGCCCATTTTTGCTGCGAATTTGAAATTCGGTGATCATCACGATAACGAGTAATTCAATTTTTCTGATGACTTTCCAACTTCACCTGTAGCATTGTTTAAATACTTTAGCTGTAGTGTTAACATCAAGGGCAACTTTAACAATAATTTTTTGCTCATTTTCCGCTAATTGACAATGACAATTGATCGATAGCACACAGGGTGTGCCAAATGTAATAACCAGTGCAATCATTTTCAAGGTTGAAAAAGCTGATTTATTCAAACTTACCACTGTGTATGTTATTCGATGATCTGATGCAGAATTTTTTTATTGTTACCCTCGTTGTTACCGTAAAGGCAGAAATTGACTTTATTTATTATTCGTCCTATATACGAAAAATTTTTAAATGACATACAATCAACTGAGCCAAATAAAAGTTATTTACATAAAAGGGAGGATATGACACACTACAGGCGAGGAAACATTAAAGCACGAGGCTTCTTTGGGGCTGAGTAGGTACTTTAATTTCCGGGTCAAGTAATATCATTTTACTGACCAGTTTTGAATTAAGTTTTATTTACCCCAAATCATATTTTAATATTACAAAATTCCAATTTTCATATAGAACATTTGACTAATGTCAATCTGTCAGTAATGACAGGAGTCATAGACATTTAGCAATATGACAGGTGCGACCGGAAAAGTGACAGATGCGGCCGGTAAAGTGACAGAGGAAAAGTAGGCATGAAAATTAAGTTTTGTTGACGATTTTGGGTAAATGCTCGGATAAATGTAAATAACCGATCTGTAGACGAGCTAATTTGGCTACGTGAAGAGAAGGTTGCTGATGGACAATGAAACAAACAGGTAACCGGCGTGATGCTGAATTTAATTGAATCTCATTACGTACACACAAAACATCATTCTCATTACGCTAACTATCTTATACTACCCTAAGAGAGGCGAGTCTTCTTCCTCGATATCTTTATACATACCTACGTCATTTTTACAATACCCTTTAAGGGGTTGATTTTGTTCTACCAAATCAGCATAGCTTGTAAAACCAATTTTTTTAATCGGCATTAGTTTTACTTTTATTCGAGGTGCGTACATGTGAAATTTCACTTAAATATCTTTACAAATAAAAAAATGGGATTGCGCAAATACAAAAGTTGTAATGTGCTTGCGCAATATTTTTTTACATCTCCATATTTGCCTGAAGTTAAGGAATATTTCCACAGAAAACCGGACATTCATATGTTCTTTGTAACAAGAGTTATAAAAGAAACCCTTTTTGAAGGTTTGAGCAGTTTTTGGGCTGTAACTTTTTGGCCCGGTGGTCTACGTCTACGTAGCCGAAAAACAATAGCGACCTTTCTTATATCCTGAAGAGAATGTCTATCAATTTTCAAAGCGATCGGACGTTTCTACACAAAGTTATCGTGCACACGGACAGACAGACAACAAAAGAAAATTATAAACGATCTCGAGGATTGTTAATAAACTAGAGGACTAGAGCAGGCACGTTTTTGTGAATACCTATACAAATTTACAATATTCCACATTGTTCCAATTGGATTAGGCGATGTTCTAATTGCATCGATATTGGCCGCGCTTTTTGCATTCTTGGTTGCTTTTTTATGCTCAATCTACATCTGCCACCAATTTTAAAATAACATCGGAGAGAAAAAATAATAGGGCGCTAACACATTGACAGACGTTGTTCTTTGTCTATTCGCTTGGTAGCATATTGTGTAATTTTTCAAAAATTTTTATTGGCAAAGGCTGTCAATATGCAATATCAAATGTATTAAGAGTCTTGTGTACCCACTGTACCCAATGTAAATTTCCATAAGAGCGCCCGCCATAAAAACTCAAGTTGTTTAAAAAAAAAATTTTTTTAAGAACTATTTTATAAATTTAGACCTTTATCTACAAAATGTTCGGGGAAGAGTTTCATTTCAATGCTTTTCTAAATAAGAAAGTTGGAACTCCGCATGCACAAACCTAAATTTTGAAACTGGCATTAGCTTTTCCTTTATTCCAAGTGCCTATGTATAAAATTTCATCTAAATGCTTCCATAACTAAAAAAGTTGGCACTGCGCATGCGCAAAACCAAATTTTGAAACTGGCGTTAAATTTGCTTTTATTCCAAGTGGCTATGTATCAAATTTCATTTAAATACTTTTATAATTAAAAAAGTTTGCAAATGGTTGAGATGCGATAAGGGCACTGTGAATTTTGAATCGATTCGACTCAACTTTTGGCATTGCGTATTATATGGCTAAAGTTATGCCCATATTGAATTTCATGCAATTCAGTTCATAACTAACGGAGATGTAAAAGCGATCGGACATTTCTAAACAAAGTTATCGTTCACACGGACAGATAGAGGGACAGACAGACAAAGAACAGACGGACAGACCAACAGGCAGACGACAGACAGCAATGCAAAATTATAAACGATCTCTAGGATCGTTAATAAACGGCAAAAGTGTAAAATTGTGGAACTTGTAAAAAACGGTTTTTTGTTTTTTTTACAATAACTTTTTTTGTAAGCGGTACAGAAAAAATTCCTTCCTAGGTGAAAGACTCGACACCATAACGAACCAAACAGCGAAAAAAGTAGAACAATAGCTCTTAAGATAAAAAACTAGTAGCGTCTCAAAACGAGCGGACGGACGGACAAAGTGGCCACAATAGCGCATTTTTTTATTGTGGAAATGCGTTAAAAATGAACATAACGAACACTTAAATTGGAGTGCTTAATGGGATTATTTTAACATTCATCGATTGGGTTAAATGAATGGTGTAGAGTATCCACTCATTATCCTAAAAATTTTTCGTTGCGCTGCTTTGTTAGAGCGTACTCGCAATTAGTTTGCTATTCTAACTTTTAATGCAATATGGAAAACTTTTTTCTTTATTAACAAGCGCAGTTCGAAATGTTTAAATTATAGACAACCTCAAGCGGGAAATCCTTTGTTGTATTTTAACAAAGCGTTTAAAGTCTAAAAAAACTCAAGAGGAATTGTATGAGATCTTGCCATTGAAATTTCAGGAATACAGGGCTTTTCGAGTAGGTATGTTATTTTATAACCACCCGAACTTGGCTGTTAGTGAATACAATGAGTTTTTTTTTTAATGATCAATAGAACTATGAGAGTTCGTATTTTCATTACTTGGAAAATTGAGGTATTATTGAACAAGTTTTACAAATTTTTACTCTTCTCTCTTCAGTCGATGTGCATTAAAAGTGAATGTTGTAGATGTTTAGGGTTAATTTGCTTCTCTATAATAATAACAACAGTCCTAGTAATACAGTAATGGTGTAACTATTGTATGGACCTAACGAATCGAAGAAATTGGATGTTAGTACGATTGCGCCTCCTATTGGCCCATTGTAAAAAAATGACTGACCTCTTGCTCTTGGTGATCTCCACGGGAACGGATCCATTTTTATCGTATGATTTATGAAACGGCTAATATGACACATTCTTTATTCTGCGTCCCCATTAATTGACTTTTGGGCAATATGATTCAGTACTTCCCAAAAATTAAAAATACAAACCTCCCCTTAAATTAATATGGCTTGCCATTCAATTTCAGAGAAATTCAACAAAAAAAGTTGAACACAAATAATGCTCTTCTACAGCTGGTTCACGTTACATTGGCTAAACCATAACGGTTTCTATTTTTCAGTAGTTTTTGTTGGTTTTTAATTTTTTATAAATGGTACCTACATTTGTGATTTTGTGAAAACAGTTGTGAGAACTGTTGAGAGTAGGTAGCTTTTTATTAGTGGACCTTGACATGCTTGAAGTTTTTTACCAATCCATAGCGACAGTACAGCTGCCAGATTATGCCAGTTAGGAAAATGCAAGGTAAAAGTTTGTAAAAGTGAGACAGAAAGCTTTGACTCGAAGACCTGGTCGACCCTTAAGTGCCAGGCGATTTGACTCACCGACCCCGCTCCCATATTTCCCATTGTTTGGCCAAAAATATGTTGGTCACCAAAAATACACATGGATCATCGAGCAATCGAGTTTGGCCATTCCCCCATGAAAATTGATGCATAAATAACGATTATGGATGGCATTTATTTACTAGAATGTAGAAGATGATACCTATCTTAAAAGATATTGACTGTAACAATATAATTCATATATTAGGTATATCTTCGCTTTTGCTACAGGGTAAACATTTTTCGTTTAATTTTGTTCTATTCTTTTCTTGTTAATATTGAACTATAAAAGGTTCTGTCAAACATGACTACACGCCCCAATTTCTCAGTCGTAACTCTCTTGCCAACTTCAAAATCTTAACACAACTAGAATTCTAACCAAAATAAACCATAGATGCTAACAACCTTCATCGTTAACATTATTTTAGGAAAATGTTACGAGACTCCTTCAATATAGTGCTTTGGTTAGTGATCAGTTGTCGTTTGCTATGCAAAAATGCTGCTTTTGTTTATTTTGAAAATTTTCAATTGTGGCTTGACAGCAAACGAACGCCCATTCGCGACGCAGCAAAATTGTATCTTTTTCTTTAACATCGAGTACTGTATTCATTTCCTTTTTGAAGTTTTGAAGTCTGCAAATTGCGAAATTGTAACCCCCCGGATCTAGTTGTAGTGAAACCAAGTCTACGGGTCGGAAATATTTGACTCGCTCATCCAGGACACATATTCTCAAAATGGTAAAACGCCTGATCTGAGATCCCAAAGGGCGATGATTTCTACAATCTCACATTGGCTCTAGTATCGTCTGATCATACTGAAGCATTGTAGATATGGGTATTTACTCGTTAGGCTTTTTAAAGTATGAAAACCGAAATGTAATTATTCTACTTAAAAATTAGTTTTCGAATAGTCCTCTTAAATTAAAGCATATAGAATAATTTTCAAAATTGTGTATCGTACTAATACAAGACTAATATTACAGGACACAAGATCATCACAAGCACGAAAGTGAAAGTTTACGATCATCCCCCGGATCGCATCGCCGTACACCTACACCTGAAACATCTCATACAGCTCCTGTTACTGTAAGTAAATACATTTACTATATTTCATAACTACCATTAAGCATTGTTTGTTTGTTATATGGTCACTCTACCAACCATTTTTCAGTTCATGTGTAATTTTCGTTATTCCGAAAACGTTTGTCTGTCGGAGTTGAATAGAATAGAAACACTAAAACCCGTCAGGTGTGTGTACAAACCTTGTTACCAATTCGCTCTATTGGGATAAAAATAACTCAATTCACATTGATTGTGGATAGCAACTCAAACTAAGATCAAACAATCTTGAATTTCTCCAATATAATAAATGTATCTATTGACTTGAGTCGAAAACACAGGTAATTTGCGAAACAGCGAAACAAAAATTTGGTGTCCGTAACACGACGTTTTAAGTTCAATTAATGATGACATGTACAAACATACTAAAGTATCGAAAGTGTTTCCCAGATAGTACTAAGATTTTCTTGTTTTTATTCCAATGACCCTTTCTAGCAATAACTCACTCAATGTCCGTCTAGTTATTTAGTGGATCGCAACGAGCGGCGAGGGACTACAATGAAGCACTTTTTCTGGTAGCAAAAAGATGAATAAAACGAATCCCTTTTTTGGTGTAACTACCAATCTATTAATTGATTAACTTGTCGAACAAAAGTAACTTTTTCCGTCTAACGTGAAACTATTTTAAAAACTTCTATCTGTAAAAGGGTCATAACTGTGTCATAAAAGTGTTACGATGGCAAAAGTTTCATTTCAACAGATATTAACGCTTCACTACAATGCGCACGTAAATCAAAATTTATAACACTGGAAAGTGGAAATTATTGCACGGACATAAACTGATATACTCCACCAATTCAATAAATTAGTTCATAGCAGAGCACTCGGAGCTTTAATTTTATACCCATACATAAAATGATTATTTAAATTAAATGCCATTTTAACCAAATGGAATTGATACTATACCAATTGAACCTTTGGCATATGAAATGAGATTCTCATTACGAATGTCTAATCGAATGTTTTGAGTTTGATTTGTGCCTGTATTGAAAACCGATTGTTAGTTTAATTTAGACGTTAACTCGAATAATGAAGTTAAAAAGCGTGTTGTATAATTCAAAGCCAGTTGGTATTCCATGTATGGAGTAATTGCGAAATGAGATACATCTGTTTTGTACGTTTCAACGATAATTGATTGAAAATCACGTATGCGATCAATTTGTGCCTTCCAGCATGATTAATTAAAAATTCTCACGGTCGCCTATGCAAAATACACTTTTTTTGTCCATTCCAATAACCTTTAAAAACGTAATATTAAGCAATACACAATAAGATAAGTAAGCGAGTTTGTATAAATATTGAAATTTATGAAATAGAACACACCTAGTACTGTGACCTCAGCATCCTTCAATCCTTTAAAATTTAAATAATAGTTCATCAATAACAGCATGTCACAGGGTAGGTATATTATACCCATACCATCCCCGAAGCACCACGAAACGCAGCATTTACATTTAAACTGAATAACAATATCGTCAAATTATTAGGAACACTACTTATTGCATTCTGTTAAAAAAACCGCTAGGTACAGGATAAGTATGAAAAAGTTGTAGGTATTGAATGCCAGAGATCCGAGATCACATTATACACGGACAGAACCAAATTACGTCCCTGAAGTGGGCAGAACAAGTATGAGCTCAAACATTGTTCAATGTTTTATTATGCTTTTCATGGTACCGTTTGCAATTTTTTATTACGAATACAATGATGTAGGTACCTACGAATCACACAAAAAAAACAAAAGTTGGAAACTGTTGGTTTCAACAGGATGGTGTGTCGCGCACAACGTCCTATAATCAGCCGAGAATAAGAATCACACAAATTATCCATTTCCAGGAAATGTGTACCTGAGATTCAAACCTAAAACCCGTGGGTCGCGTGTCCTATGCTGGTTGGTTTAAAGCCAAATGGCAGCGTGTACTTATCGTTATGGACAGATCAGATCAACGTAAAAACTAGTCAATATTTTTCTATTTTATACCACAGCTTTGAATATAACATATTTTATATTTAAAGACTAAAGCCAGTCGAAGAGTGAGTGCAAGGACATATTTAAGATATCATAATTTTTTCCCTGAAATGCAATTACCATCCTGCAGTACCGAAACACTTCATTAACGAGTGTACAATGGCAAAAGTAATAAACTTGAAATATACGAATATTGTTCTATCGATAAATTTGTGCCACTGTTGCTTGCGACTTGCGAGTAACAGAAAAGGCGTGATAATTTCAACAATTCCAGATGTGATAAATTCATCGTTTTTATGATAGATGGTTTTGATTGAAACATACATATAAGGTAGTTTATTTATGATTGGATGGCACAAAACTATGCGATAGGTTTCAAGTAATTTCGAGGGATGCTGCGTTAAGTTAGCACCCCATTCTTTGAAACAGACGGCACACAAAACTCGGGCATTGGCGCTCAAATAAGCACAAAGTAGCCCAAAACTATGAAATAGGCCGGGCAGGCAAGGGAACTTTTATCTATTTCTTTTTGGTCTTGACCTATTTTTTGCTTTCGTAAAAATCATTTAAAAAAAACAATAAGTACTCCTGAAAATTGGCACGATTTTGCACACAAAATTTATAAATATAAACCCCATATTTAGCTTGTATCCAAATTTTCATTTATGCTCTTAAGATTTGTTGCAGGTGGCTTTAACTTAAAAACGTGTCGTTTTATGCCCCACCCGGTATATATTGCGACGAAAATTCTCGAAAATACCTGACGATATCTCTGAAACAAGAAATGCCTTTTCAAAGAGGCTTTCAAACGTTTTGGAAGCTTCGCATCGCGTCCACTAGATGCTGCACGTGTAACATAACCATTAATTCATTAGATATAGAAAGTACCGCAATCCATTGGGCCCGTGTGTTAGAGAGAGAACGCATGATTTTTACCCAAAAATGGTGAAAGTTACCAGATTCTAGTAACTTTAATGTTAGGGATTGTTCCACCTGTTTGGAGAGTATTTGAAAATTGAATTTTCATTTCCTAATAAATCAAATATATAGCGGGTTATTGTGTTTCAGGTTGTAAAAGAAAGTAATGGTAAAGGTGTGAGGTTGTTTCCTTTACCAAGTGGTGAAAGAAATGCGCAAAGGAAACAATTATGGTTAGACTTCAAGAACATTCCCGAACACACGCTCTATTTTGGAACATACATACCTGCTGCGTGCTCGCAGATGGTTCCACAGTAGTTTAATACATATGAAAGTAAAAACCGCACTCTGCCCAGGTTTATTAGGAATTTTTGTATGAGTTTGCGCTTTTAAAAAAGTTAAAAAAATGTCCTAAACCTAATATCCAAAACTGCTTGGTATCACACTCCTTCCATTGTGTTTCATTAATAATTTTTGTACTCTAAGCCTACAATAACCTGCGTCCAAAGCTGCTTGGTGTTGCATACCGTACTGTATGAGTCAAAGTTGTGGGCACGTTCGGCTTAGTGTACCTTGCACACGTGTCGGCGAAGTGGGCACGGTCGGCGTAGTGTCCGTCGGCGAGGTGGGCATTGTGTCCGTTGTGTCCCTTGCACACCTTTCGACAATGTGGGCACGGACGGTGTAGTGTCCGTCGGCCTTTGAACGTATAGTCGTAGTGTAAGGTATAGTCAATACCATGCTATAGTTTCTTTCCTTCGCCAGAATTCATTTAAATAAAATATATAGTGAACAATTTAAGTACATTTGTAATTTGTTTGTCAAGAAACCATGGATTGAATGTAAGGTATTCCGTAGTGTAATACTAATAAATAATACACTGGGCCGAATGCACAAACAATAAATAATCAGGCCGTTAGTTAATCAGTATGATTAAATTAAACCTTTGATTAAGTTCGATTGGTATGCACAAAACAAAAAATCTTCTTGATTAACTAACCAAGGTGATTAAGCATTGATTAAATATTTGGTAAAAATTGGCGCCGGCAACGTTGTAGTTTTATGGAAATGTGTGATTTTTTTAGAAGGCTTTTCTTTTTGTTATCTGTAATTTAATAGTCTATTTATATGTTTGTATTAACAATGGAAAAAAGCATCCGTAGCCGAAAATCTATACTTACTACAAATAATTGATTCCTTCTTATTATAGTAACTTATAGTGACTGTCCTGAGTTCATTCAATAAATGTTACGGTTCTTCCATTGAGTACTTAATTTTATTGAAAGTGGAGCTTATTCCAACATTCATTTTTAATTGCTAGAATAGTTTATTACATAGTAGCAAAAATATCATAAATTAAGCACTGCTTCCTGATAAAGTTTCTCACCTTTAGACCTCTCGATGCTGCATGCTTTCAGTCTTTTATCAATTCCGAATACTAATTTTTTTCCAATTTAGTAAGGAACATATAAACTAGAATCCAAAGTGACGATCTCTCAGATACTTCCGCCATTTCTGAAACATCAAGCCCATGAGAGTTCGTCACAGAAGATTATGACATGATAAAACGAAATGCGAGAAAAGCGGATGCATCGAGCAATGTAAGCAATGTTTAATGTTTATAAATTCATTAGGGTATTCAATTATTGGTACGTTTTTAGAAAGAAAGGTATCGGTATCGATTAAAGAAGCTTTCGATAGAGAAATTTGAAATTGCTTAATAAAAACATTGTTTTAATGATAGCGATTCTTTATTGCTATTGGAACCTTCCGCCCCAGCAATCATCCTTGAAGTGGCTCAAAATACCTATCCTTTTCATTTTCTTTCACACCTCAATGGACTCCAAAACGTGGAATAATTGCTCTAAAACCCCAAATCCAAAATTAAGAGGTCAGTTCAGCAATTTAAAAAAACTACCACCTTCAAAAGTGGAAGAATGCTCGACTGGGAATACTTCACTCTCCTCATGGGGAAGAATTTTAGAAACCGCGTTTACACGAATCAATTCAAAGAAATGAATATATTTTCTATTTAAATAAAATGATGTTAAAAACTTTTAGATCTAGAATTAGAATAGGC